ACAATTCTCTCTAACTCTTCTGACTTTCGGCCAAAAGAGCCACAAACGCGATCTCCACGCTTATATAAGGGAACCCTAGGGTTCCCTAAACCGATCGCCAAGCCGAGTGATCAAAAATTGAACTAGACGGTTCAATTTCAACTTGCGGTGATTGACGCACAACACTTGTGTCGATCGATGCAATACCCAGAACCTGACTCTTCGCGAGTCCAAATACGTGTGTCGATTGACACACACACTGTGTCGATTGACGCACCACCAAAAATACACACTGTGTCGATCGACGCACCACCAAAAATACACATTTTGGTTCACGGGCGTTACAACTAGACCAAAGAGTATTTTGATTAATCTAAAGCATCAAAAGAAGTTTGGATAAGTTGCTCTAAACTAATCAGAAATGTAACAATACTGAGAATGCACAAAACAGAGATGTGAAGGTGTATGCAATGATAATGGGAAGTATCAAGCATCAGATTAGCAAACGATGAGAATCAACATACTGCGGCTAACAAAACCAGGGCCTTTAACCAATAAGCTCAACTCTTAAGCATGGGGCACGAATATAGGTCATCCCATTTTCATGACGCTACTAACCACTATGTCGAGTACAAACATCTAATGAACTTTCGCTACTAGATATAATTACTCTCCAAACTTAAAGATCAAGCCCCAATAAGCTCACTTAGCTCCTCTACACACTTTCGTGGTCAAAGGATTACTAAGCCGAGCAAAAGGTCGGTCCGGCATTCCAACAAACACCTTTTGGGAAGCGGAATGCCTCAGGACGAGATTCAAGATCGGGGCCAAGAACCAAACTTTATCCACAACCTAAGCTCGAGAAACGTAATACACATGCCGAGGTTAAGTTAGCCGTTTCTCTAAAGCTTTTACATCTACTAACCCGACGCCCGATAAGCGGACTACTCACTCATGGCTACGGAAAAAGCCATGATTGAGCTCGAGTAAGGTACGAATGATGCGATGCAAAGATAAGTACGATTAACAAGTAAAGACTGAAACTTTACGCTATAAACTGAAACTTTATAACGAAAATAACTTAGAACATCAAAGATCCAACGCTCTAAGGGTCGATTACAACTAAACATAAATGAAAAGCTTGAAAGCGAAAAAAGGAAAGAAGAACAAAAGAAGACTTATGTTTTTCAGAGGTTAAGAACATATTTATACCCCTCATAACAGTAACCGGGTCGACCCGAAGCACAAAACGGATCATCCAGTTCGAGTCAACGGTCGACCCAAAAAATTTAACAAAATGCATTAAATATCGGTTACTCCATATCAGGGAAGTGACCGATTTCCGTTGCGCGTCCAGCAGCTTTCGTGTCGCGACACCAGCCCCTCGATGGGCACAGTACATCGGTATTCCTCATCGGTGGGTGCCGATATCAGGGGATATCGGTTTCCTCTACTATTTGTTTAGCCGGTTTGATGTGTCTGGTCAAACGGATGGAGAGTCTTGATGCTCCATCATATCAAGGGGATAATCTGGGACATTTGTGCATAGATTAAGGGGGCACTAACGTCCTGATTCTCACCCAAGCTATGAACTTTAGTGGGTTTGTTGAGACTCTATCCTTCCGCTTTTCCAAGTACTTTTCACCCGACATTCCTTGATGATTCATGACCGATTCTTGCTCCACTGCTCCTTATTTTTCTCCAGAACCTTGCAATTCCCCTTTGCATCCACTCCTCTGTCCTCAACTCCAGTCCTCTAGGCTCTAGTAAGCCGGATAGCTCCAATTAAGCACAAGTACCACCTGAAAAAAGGTAAAAGAAGAGAAATATGTACAATTCTAACCTAAGACTCATAAATGCAAATCTGAACTAAACTAGAGCTAAAGATGCCTAAATGATGTAGAATGATGCAGAATGATGCTGAACAAAGGATAAAGATATGCAAATATGTACAAAGATAATGCAAATATATAGATATATCAATCATGTGTTCTATCTCAGATCCTTTAAACTTCCAATACGGGATTCTCAATACTCTTTTCAAGATAATGGAGCTTCTACCCCATTCATCCGAACTAAATCTTAATTTTAGATTCGTTATACACAGGGTGTAATTCTTGACATTAAAGAACTCAACCACCATATCCAATGAG